CAGATATTTCCCGTCCAAATATAAATCTACCTCATGTGGACTAGTGCAGTGTTAGACTCATTTATTTATTTTAACATGAATATCATTGGATTAGAGGGAATCATTTTACGGACTTAAATATTGATTTAAACTGCTCAATGTATAAATATGTTTACACACTTAAATTTTGTTTTAAGTGTTCCGTAACATTTACTCTTGGAGAAATCAGGAATTTTTAAAATATTATATAAATATATCATCCCTTGTATTTGTGGAAACCTCAAAAATGCAGAATTTATTTGAAGTATATTTATTTTCTGACAGCTGTATAAATGTCTCATTTTTATTTCCCATGCATATTCTATAACGATTTAATTCAGAAATTCAGTGCTAGCATGCTGACATCCATATCCTTATTATTAAACTTAATGTGAACATGATACTTCAGAGGACCTAATTTTTTTCAACTTATTCAGGATTTTTTCTTCCTATTTAAATAATCATTATATACCTATACATTATATTTTTAAAAACTGAAGTATTGCCGGCCATGTGTTATATTACATTTCTTACTCAGTTGGTTAAAAAAACATTTCATTTTCTGTCATAAACAGTTCAGTCACAAAATAATACAATTTAATGGAAAGGATACGGGATTAACATTGTCATGAGACTGATTTGACTCTTGGTGACATGACTTTGAGAAAATTGCTTGGTGCCTCATTTTCCTAACAGGCAATGTGTGGTGTATAATGATACTTTTTAATTCATATACAAATGAAAAATCGATATACATTGTTGACCTGGCATCTAATTACTAATTAATGGATATTAGTTACTGTTATTTTGTTGTTATTGTTATTATCATGCCAACTTTTGGATTTTGTGTTAGCCAAACGTTTAGTGGCTCCTGTTTTGGATTTCCCAGGGTGAGACTGAGATGGACACTTTTCAAGGTAGCAGTGACGTCCCCTGAGGAGTCAGTAGGATGCTGAGGGAAATGGATGGTAGTCTCTGCATATTGAATCCCAAATTAGAAATCAGAATGCAGCGTTCATTTCTGACCATTATTTGTGGTTTTAGTGGTGGCTTGGTTCCCAGACATGCTTACCAAAATATAATGAATCCAAAATATAGATGCTTTAGTTGAATATTCTGGGAATTTAAATACCATTGAGAACATTGTTATAAGCAGATGATATACTATGTCCAGATATCAGGCAGACAGCTTGCAAATATGTCTTGGAAATCTGTTTGCATTCTTCCATGTGGATTTACTGTATTATGGTATAGAGACTTCTGATTTTAAAATTGCTGTGAAAAATACATATTTGTTGCCACACATTACAGATTTCTTAATAAAGTACGGATACTAACTTCAGAGAAATGTAGCACAGAAAAATACTACTGGGCCACATTAAGACACTTACCCATATGGCTTGATAAATAAATGTCGAAATTAAATAACAGCTAACAAGTAACAATAAATGTTGGCTAACCCACTCTAGTAATTTTTAAATAATTTGTTTTGAATTAATCAAATGGGGAAGGATTGACAATGCAATGCCTAGTGGGAAAAAAAAAAAATCCCATCTCTTACATAACCCTCTCAACAATGACTTGTGCAAAAAGCCTAGGTTGAGTAGTAGCTACACTAAAGCATCAAAAGATACATCAGAGGATGTTTGGTTTCTAATGTTATTCAGAGCCTCATTTGCTTTTATTTTCGATTTGGTTTGCCTTGTTTATTTTTGGTCATAGAAGCAAATCCTTCAAATATGGCATAAGTGGTAAGTTTACATACTGGCAAGAGCCTTGTTGTTTCTCAGCACATGGAATTTTCAGGGCCATCTTGGTTGTCGGTGGCACAAGAATTCAGGAGCCACTTGGGTTCCACCACTAGCCTTTCTCCTAGGGCAGCAATATGTCCACCGAGAACAGAAAAGGATTCTGAGGGGAAGACTCTTGCTAAAAGCAAAATAGACCTGACTTTCACCTGTTGTTTTCCATAAGCTAAAAGACAGGGTCAGTGCGTAAGTCATGAGTGAGAATGTGAGGATACAAGGCAAGGGACATGGATGTTGAATGGAAGAATCACTGTCTTTTCCCGTCCACCTTTTATATGCTTGATACCAAGTTTATAATTTTGTATTCTCCAGCAAGTAGCCAGGTAGATTTTAAGGTTGTTGTCTTAATGCGAAAAGTGATCCTCATTGTTTAAAAAAAAAATTAGTATAGTGATTTTGCCTGATGTTCCTCTGGTGGACCTTGGGAGTAAATATTTCCACCAGCGTGCCACTCAATGTTTATAAAACAGTTGACAACAACGTTGAAGTAGGATGGAAATATCAGGATGAAAATGGTTTCAAAATTGGTCAGGACTCGATTGTAATTTTGTGAAATGTTGGGTAATGAATGATATCCTTTTTCTAATAGCCCTCAACGTTTATTCCCCACCCCCTTAACATTTCTGATAGCTCTATCATTGGTCTCTAAAAATCTTGAAAAGGAATCCTTGAGTAGATTCAACTTTGATATCATTAAATTTACCTATCTAGAATTTGTAAATTTTCCTGCTGACACAGAATATTGAATTTAATGGAAACCGACACAGGAGACCCTGAAAAACAACACATATCTCAGTCACTGAGCGAGAAGAATTTCCATACAAACAAGGTTCATAAAACCTAATCAGTGAGGGATTAGTGGCCATCGTCATTAGCAAATGCAGAAACTCTTCATTTATTCATTTGCCCATTCATCCAATAGTTCAACAAATATTTATTTAGTTAGTTAGGGTATCATTGACCCACAGTATTAGTTTCAGGTGTACAATATAGTGATTTCTTGAATGATTTCTAACTTAAGGGGATTGACTCTGCATGGTCCTAATTGCATACATGAAAAAATTAAAAAAAAATGAACAAACAAAAAAAGCAGAAACAGATCCATAAATACAGAAAACAAACTGGTGGCTGCCAGAAGACAGAAAGGGGGGGAGATGGCCAAAATGGGTGGAGGGGAGTAGGAGGTCAGGCTTCTAGTAGTAGAAAGAGTAAGTCACAGAGATGTAAGGTACAGCATAGGGAATATAGTCAGTGATACTGTAATAGTGTTGTCTGGTGACAGATGGTAGCATAGCATAATGTATAGAGCTGTCCAATCACTATGTTGTACACCTGAAGCTAATGTAACATTGTGTGTCAGTATACTTCAGCTTGAAAAAAGAAGTTACAGAAAGAGTTTTTTCAATGTGTTTTTAAAATTTATTTTGAGAAAGAGAGAAAGAGAGGAGAGAGAGAGTAAGCATGAGCAGGGGAGAGGCAGAGAGAGAGAGGGAGAGAGGGAATCTCAAGCAGGCTCCACACTCCACATGGAGCCCAACATGGGGCTCAATCCCAACAACCATGAGATCGTGACCTGAGCTGAAATCCAGAGTCAGATGCTTATTAACCAACCCAGCCACCCTGGGCACCCTGATAGACTTTTTTTTTGAAAGCAATTATTGCCTGGAACATGATGAGATAAATGTTAAACTATTTATCAAAAATAAAATAGAAAAACTGTTAAGACAGAAGCTGCTAGAAAGAGTATGAGAGATGTAAATGAGATGTAACAGAGAAGTAACACATACATTAAAGGAGTTCATAGAAAAGATATAAGAAGAACAATTGAAGTTATAAATGAGAATACTTCCGAATGAAATTCTTGAATCTGTGATCTTTATCTAGAAAGTTTTGTGTAAAATTATTATCAGTATACAAACTGCTTCTTCAAGTTTCTGGACAGCAGGGATTAACAATTATATGATCAGGAAGAGAAAAAAATGTCATGCATGAGAGGCAGAGATGATATTAAAATGATATTAAAAATCAAAACAGACATATCCACCAATCAGACAGGAAGTGGGTTATCCACAGTAGAAACTACCGCTGACTGACGTTGGTTAGTTAATTGTATTCAGAGTTAGAGATTTTTGTCTGGGAGAGACAAGTCTTTTCACGATGTTTATTCTTCAGACTGTCTCCCCTCACAGTGACTGTCACATTGGGTGACTTCCCTGTGACAATATCGAGGGCTCATAGGAAATGAATCCATCATATTCTGACTTTGGGAGGCGGGGTTGAGAGCGTTATAGCATTTGTACCTAAAAGAGCTTTTATTTGTTGGTTTAATACCTAAAGCACTGTGTTTTGAACCTTTGTGGCTTTTATTAGTAGATATTAAGTTTATTCCCATTAAGACAACTTAACAAATATCAGTAGCCTTAAGGAGTCTTTCCATTGGAAGCCCTTTTCACCAGAGTCTGTTGATTTGGTTTTAACTGATGGGTAAGCTATGGGAAGCCTCCCTCTCACAAAGGTCTGTTCCTCTCCCTTGGCAGACTGTAGACCACTGAATGTGAAGATACCCGTTCATGTTTTTTTTTTTTTCCTCCAGAGCTTATTGGAAAACTCATGATTATTTTACAACTTTTTTAAACAAATCTCTCACCCAATCTCATTCAGTGTTCGAATATATATTCCTTTTGTTAAACACACTTGGATATTCGTGACTTAGTTGCATATAGAAGAATAAAATCTACTCTGTATGACTCCTTCAACACTCAGAGTTAGTTGTACTCAGCAAAATATGTTGGTTTTATGAAAATCACTTAACTGGTAGAAAGAAAAAAGAATATATTTTCTACTTTCCTTAGTAATCTAAATATACTTATCTTGGATAGAAGTATATGTGGTTAAGATCACTTGGAGTTTGTAAAGATTCATTTCACATGTTACTGGGGAAGCAAAAAGTAATATGTAGGATCGCTTAACACACATTTAATATAATTTTGGTGGACTGATGATTTTTGCATCATATATAAATTTCATTTTAAAATTCTTCCTACTTATTCAGTATTCAGAAACTTACTATATTCAGGAGTATATTCTAGCATTTTCTTACTGTTGTACAAATTACATAGAAATTATGCCATTGTATTTAACAGTGAGACATTTAACTTTTTTTTTTCCAGACTTGAATGCAGCGATCATGTAAATTAGAGAAAGGAGACAAAAATAACTTCTGAAATATTCTTCTCATGTGATATTTATTCTGGATGAAGCACTAAGATCGCTCATAGAGGTGTATCACTGTGAGTATTTTCTAATGGAATTAGAATGTTATTTTTTGTGTGTTTCAATAATGTCATATGTGCTACACTTTAACATAATTTAAGAATAACATATATAGATTAACAAAACACAGTAACATAGTGTAGGAGCAGTAATAGGCAGAATACTGCAAAACTCCCGAAATACTTGCTGATAAGAGAAAAGCTCTTCATCTCTATATATAAATAAATAAATGTTTGGGGTAAACCAAAGTGAAGGGAGGGACAACATATCAATTGTTTACCATGTCATGAAGGTCTTTGCCAGAATATGTTTAGTAGCGTGACAGTTTTCTGATGAGAAAGTAAAGTAATTACAGATCTAGGCTGGGAAGAATGATAGTCTTACCATGAACAATCAATACATTATGAGTTATAAGATTACAAATATAACAAATGAGATACTTTTATAAGGCAGAATGCTTAAATGTTGGTGATATTTTTAAATCTACTGAACCATCAGTGATAATAGCCATGAGTTCAGTTTTTCAATTGCTTCATCTGTACCTTATTAAGTTATCAAATGCTCTTTACTCACCACATCTGCAGTTTAATCATACAGAACTATTACACTCAGACAGAATAAAAATGAACAAAACCTTGCAAAAACCTTGTCAATTGACCTGAGGGCTTGGTTTGGTCATACAAATGAAGATATATATTTTCCACATAAAATTCCGCAGCATCCTACTGTAATGCATGAGTAAGTGCTATCATGACTGGTAAAGAGGATGGAATGATAGCTATTTTGCTGGCAGACTACAGGTGGCCAGCTGAATCTCTTAGGTTGCAGTGTCTTGGATAGTTCCACGAATTACACAGAAAAACATCACCTCTGGGGGAGATTGTATTTAATAAGAAAACTTCCAGACAACTAAGCATTCTTTGGGTTTTAAAAGTCGCTTGTAGAATCTCTGCGGATACTCAGAGCTCATCAGCAGGGCCTTCCCATTGGTCAGGTCCGTGCACTACAGATAGCTACACATTTTAAATGTCACCCTGGAATAGAGTCAAATATGGCTTCTGTTTGGACTTGTGTTATTGACCCCCAAAATAATTCAGATAACGAAAGATCTTTTTAGATATCCTATGACATACTGACATTTTTTCCCCTAAAACTGAACACATAGTTTGGGAAAATTCTTATGAATGTAACAATTTATATTTCATTTACTTAATCGTAATTCCAGAGGTATTTCACATAATGTAGTACCAGCTTAGATTTTTCACTTCAAATTTTGAAAACGTTATGCATAGTAAAGTTTAAATCGTTCCAAGACTTGGGGTAATGGGTCTCATTCCTATTTTAAATGGGTAAGTAAAAGTTTTCGAATCAGTCTCAAGACTTGTTTCCTTTAGCTGAGTGTCATAATTTTTATTCTCTCATTATCTCATAAAAATATGTATTCACAATATGACTGAATAATAGAATTGATTTAAAGCCAAATACCCCTGGAGACAAAGTCAAACTTATTAAACATGTTACTTACTCTACTAAAGAAGAAATTCAATTTTAATGTCTTTTAAAATACAATTTTTCGAGGCAGGGTCATAGAAAAGTTTTCATGAAAGTAAATATTCCTGTAAAAAGCAGACACTACTCTGAAGCAAATTATTTTTAATCAATATTGTTGGTTACTTGCATCTGAGAGAAATCTGTGAGTTGCTTTAAAACTATTAATCTTCTTCCAGAATGTCCTAGACCATTTATCAGAGCCATGTTGTCAAATACAGATTTGCAGAAATAATGTTCAGTGTCATTTAAGACTAAGTGATACTCAAAACCATACGGTTGAACACACTTAAATGGTTTAACACCATGTTCAGTCTATAAAATTCCCTTTGATCTAATCATTTTATTATATTTTGTGTCAATGTACGCATATGTGTATTTTAATGACTATGATTAGAAGGATGAATATGTATAGAAGTTCCCATCTACCAAGAAGCAACCTGGTTTAAGAAATTCTTTTTATTAAGCAAAACGTATCAAGCCCTCTAGTGGTGTTGGTATATAAAATATTTCACTGAGATGTGTGCTTAATAAGAGCATTTGTTTATGTTTGTTTGTTTGGCCTTCAAGTATAGGAATTTAACATTTCCTTGACATGAGGTTTTTGCAAATTCCTGTTTGCTCTGTGTGGCAGATAATTTGTAGTATACTTGAGGTGTTTTTTCTAACTTTACCTTAGGATAAAATTTTTAAATGCATCGATGTAAGAGTGAAGTAATAAATAGCCCAGTAAGTGATAAATCACACTGTTTTGTATCAGTTGCTTTTGTCCTTCAGTCTAGTATTAAAAGGTACTTACGACGTTTCATTTGCATGAGTCTGATAATAATAATAATGATAGTTTTTAAGGGAAAAACTACATCATGTTAGAACTTAGGTCTTCGTTTAAGTAAACAACATGATGAAAGATTAACCGTGGCTTACTCTTCTTACACTTTCTTTGTAATTCTTACCGAGATCTTTCATACTATTTAAAGTCCAAAGGAAATAGTCTTATTCATACTTAGCGATGTTTCCATTGAGTTTTGTTTTTTTTTGTTTTGTTTTGTTTTGGGGTTTTTTTGGCCTCTATGATAGAAGACCTGCACTTAGTATCTATAAAGTGTGTTTCAATTACTAAGGAACAGGTTTTGACTTCATGCCAACAGTATTTGTATTTCTTTCTTAAAAAAAATAATGTTTGATGCATAGCCAGAGGAAACTGAGGAATACCAAGCAGTGGAAATGGAAAAATAATATGAAAAAGGCTGAGATGCAAAGATTAGTCTCAGAGACGGTCTGTTCTCAAAGATGAATTCCTTGAGGCCCTGTCTTTTATTTCAACTTTGTTTTAGACTCAGAAATTGGACCCAGAATGGATCTGCTAAATGCAATTCTTTTCTTTCTTTCTTTTTTCTTTCTTCTTTCTTTCTTTCTTTCTTTCTTTCTTTCTTTCTTTCTTTCTTTTTCTTTCTTTCTTTCAAGCATATTTATTTATGTTGAGGAAGAGAGAGTATATGTGAGTGCCAGTGGAGAGGGGCAGAGAGAGAGGGAGAGAGGATCCCAAGCAGGCTCCACACTGTCAGTGCAGAGCCCAACTCGGGGCTCTGTCCCATGAACCATGGGATCACAATGTGAGCTGAAATCAAGAGCTGGAGACTAAGTGACTGAGCCCCCCAGGTGCCCCGGAAAGTGCTGTACTAGGTTTCTTAATTCTTCCCTCACTTCTCATCTTCCTATGGTATCCTTCACTGTGAGGTGAGAGTCTGCGTAATCCTGCCTTATCTGTCCCCACCAGTACTTGTTGGGCTGATGACGATTCTTTTGAAAATGTGTTCATTGTCCCTACTTCTCATCAAGAGATTCGTGCATGTGAATGTGTAGCCGGTGTCTTTTTTCTCCCTCTTTGTGCCCCCCTTGTTTTTAGAAGTCTCCAAATAAGACTGATTTAAAACAGGACAGTAAATCCTATTGGCCAATATATCTACTCTCCCTTTCTCTAAATCTAGACAATTTTAAATCTATGGTGCTAGAGGCATATATTCTTAAATCTATAGCCTTCACTCTGAAATAAGTTCATTTAGAAACCTGATGAAGCTGATGTTTCCTACTTGCATGACCCAAACACATACATTTATACTTCTCCTTTCAGATTATTCTAATCTTTTTCTCCAACCACGTGGTTTTGGAGGATCGCCATGATGGGTGATGTAGTGACAACACAAACACTAACTCCAAAAAGGGAACACAAAAAACAGAATATTCTGGAAGTTTGTATACTTCCAGACTCAACCCGGTATAATATATAACACTATGGAAGTTTAATTTTTGAACTAGGAGTCAGTAGAGCTTCGTCACCACCCATAACTGTGCCCTCGGGTCACATAGAATGCCAGGTTCATAATATATCCATGAACAAAGTATATTATGAAATCTCTAAGCTATCTTGTAACCTAAGAGTGTCCTGTTTCTAAATCATAGAAGCACTCAAAGATATCTTCCTATAAAGTGAAGGGTAGCAAAATATCGTTTTCCAGGATATTTTCCCTACAAAATCTTCCACCTCTCTCAGTCTCTTCCTTACTTGTCAGGAGTTGGACTGAGCTGAAGAGAGCTGAACTGCCAGGTGTCTGAGTAGTCAATTAAGGCAGTAAGCCAAAATGAAAGTAGCAGTCAAGCCTTTAATCACTTGCTGGGGTAATATAAGCAGGGAACCAATTTGGAGACAGCCCTTACTCCCCCCTAATTCATTTTCCTTCATGGAACACACTGGTTGGGAGTCAGGTGGATCAACACAGATGTGGGGCTCATTTATACTGATTAGAGCTCTGGACAAAAGGCTTTTCCGGGTTTGTGGGCCAGGGTGCCAGGAAGTAAAGGAAGTAAGGGTAGGAGTGGGAAGTTCCTGAGTCAGAGTGGAGAGACGTGTGTTCAAGGTTCCTCCATGAGGAGGTCCCAGCAGAGCTGCCTGAGGAAGGCCTCTGCCAAAGACCTCAGATAAAGAGGTTTGTTGCTGAAGGCATTTGGTCTAAGAATATGGACATGTGTAAGAGCAAGGCTGGCCGGTGGTCCTGAAACTCTCTACAGAGCAGTGCACGAGCTGTGCATCCTTTGAGGCAGGCCAGGGAATGCCTGCATAATTGCCCCTGATCAGGCCTGAAAAATCGCACATAGGGCTCCGGTCTGCAGTGAAACTTTTCACTGGTTATCATCTTACTTGCTTAGTTCCCCTGGAGTTTAAATTAGAGAGCAAAAGCCAATCAAATTGGTCTTTTATTTTGAACACTGTATCACATCATCTTATTCAATCAATTTCAATGTATAGAGGCCCCTGCTCTGGGCTTGGTGTGAGGTGCTAGTTACACTAAGACAAATCCCCAACTTCAAGGAGTGCCGTGTCTACTGGGGAGTCCAGGGGAGAATATTTATCAACTGTTGTAACAGTATTGTAGAGTGCCTAATATACGCCAGGCTTGCTCAAAATTCTCTG